CATGCAAAAAAAAGAGCTAAAAATAATGAAAGCCTTATTAATTAATAAAAACAAAAACCAACACTTAATAATATCAACTATGAATATGGACACAATATCTTGACCATGTTTTGAAAATGAAAACATTATATAAATACATACATAAAACAAACTATTTTTTGTTAACAGTTAATATATTTCAACCTTGAAAATGGCTAAATGTATAGCCGAAAGCGCTCGGAAAAAAGAACATTCAGACAGTTAAGGGCTAGGATTAGGGTTAGGCTTAGGATGCTAGATCAGGACCAACCAGGTTGCATATCCGTCTCTGGATTTTGTCTAAGACCACGAGATGAACAGCGGAAGCACCAGACCATATATTGCAGCAGTATTGCAAGGACGAATGGTTGGTTTGTAGATTTGAAGGATGGACACCGGCGAGAAAAACCTTTTGGCGCGACACAGGGAACCAACTTTCCTTGCAGTAAATGAAGCTATAGATTCAATGTAGTTGTTCCACTTCAGGTCAGTGGACAGCGTGAGACCAAGCAGGCGCAGAGAGGCGCTCTCGTCGAGTTGGGCAGGGTGGGTTCTCTTTGGTGGGTAACTGAAAGCAGTTTCGTTTTAAATGCCTTAAAGTTTACAAGCCATTTACTGCCCAAATGATTGTAGGTCCTTCTCGAGGCCTACGGCCAGGCAAGTTTTGTCAATGATGCCGGATTTACTATTAAGGTAGGCACCTAACCTTTACGCGGGAAAACAGCATAGCGTAATGAAAAAGGTCACAAACTTTGGTTAAAGTCTTCTTTTGTTTACGTCATCGCGGCGACATGAAAATAACAGTTTTTTTTGCGCTTTTTTCCGTTGAAAACACGTTGATTTTGAAATTCTTGTAAAAATAAATAATTGTCCAATTTTAATGAAATTTTCAGGACTTATTTGCAAATGAATGAAATTATTTTTGAATACCTTTTTTTAGAAGATTTTGATCTTTTTTTTTGTTAAAAGTGGAGTCTTTGGAGATTGTAAATCACCTACTTTTTTTCAAATTTGAGTTAACTAACAGAAAATCTGCTCTGAATTGAAAAATAATGATTCCTATGACATTAGTTAATTAGAAAATCTTTTAATTGCTTTTGTAAATAACTAATATTAAGGACATTATTGTCTGAAGAAATGAAATTTTTCTGATGAATAATGAATTTTACAAAATTTTTTTCATTTTTTTTTTTTTAAATTTTAATTATAATAATTTATAATAGTTTAAAATCATGTAAAATTCTGTATTGGGCGATTTCCTGGATGTGATATAGTAATTAAGTGGAAACGAAATTTACGAATCCAAAATTGCAAAGATTAATGAACGTAGTTGTGCTATTTTATTTTAAAATAATTTTTTATTTTGTATTTTTTTACTTAACACGTTCCTTATTTCCATGTATGGTAGACTGAAATTGCCATTATTATGAAAGGTAACGCGATCTAAGAGTTTTGTCCCTTTATTCTAATAAATAAACATAACAGTAAAAATAAAAATAAAAGCGTTCACTAAGATTTCTAATAATTTTCATTTATGGCCATCCGTAGTAGCTGTCATCGCTTGCCAGTCAACAATGATATCAAATGTTTGATGAAATGGACAGTACCAATCGTTAATAATTGGTTGTATATTACTTTTTTATGCTATAAATAAGTAATATTTTTTTTATATCAGATTAATTTAACTTGAAATTTTATAATTTTACTAAAATAACGTGTCAGTAATTTGTAAAAATATTTTTAAAATCGATAAATTTTTGTTTGTTTACAAATTTCTTAAAATTAAGAAAATGGCCGTTTTTAAGAAAATTTAAGAAATCAAAATTAAATTTGACATTCCAATGTATATAGTTTATACACCAGAATTATTTACTTAATGGAAATAATACGTTTAATTATAAAACTTTCAATTAAAGCTAAAATGAAATCGTCATGAATGTTTTTTCATTTTAAAAAATTCATTTTAAACTTAGGTATCGAAAATTTATGCTAAAAATGTGGAGATACCTATATTGAGACAGGATTAAATAGTAGTGTTGTCAGCGTAGATGTCAACTTGGGAACGGATGACATCAGGAAGATCGTTGATGAAGATCAGGATCAGTGTAGGACCCAGGATAGACCCTGGGGGAACACCAGCGTTCTTATGAAAGGAAATGGCAGAAAACTCGTTTAGGACGACCTTCATTTCACGGTTTGACAGGAATGATTTAATTAAGTCAAATAATCGTCTTATAATGCCGTATCCCTGAAGCTTACGAAGAAGACCGGCGTGTCAGACCCTATCAAACCCTTTAGAGATATCTAAAGCTACGGCTCGAGCTTCTCCGTTATTGTCAAGTGTTTGGTATATAAATTCAGTTATGGTCGTGAACACATCAGCAGTGGACCAGGCAAAGCGGAAACCATATTGCTTGTCTGAGAGCAGATCATGGGATGTAAAGTGCTTAACCACTTCAGCGTTGATTAAAGCCTCGAAGACTTTGCCAAAGAATGGTAGAAGACTTATAAGACGGTAGTTAGATGGGTCAGAAGGGTCACCACAGTTCTTCAAGATAGGCACAACAGATGAGGACTACCAACAGGCTGGAAAGCATGAGTCAGTCAGTGAGGCAATATTTGTATAGTTTGAAGAGGACTGGTGTAAATTCAGGAGCACATTTCTTCAGTACAACGACTGGTATCCCGTCGCCGCCACTAGGGGTCTAATTTGGAGACGACGTCCAAAACCATCGCTGGGCTTGTTTATGTCACTCAAAAGAGCGTCAGTTCTAGGGGTAAAATCAGGTGTGGGTACTCCTCATGAGTTGATCGTTGAATTCGATGAGAATTTCCGAGCAAAGCATTCAGCCTTATCAGCTGATGAAGTCAAGACTTTAAATTGATTTAATAGAGGAGGTATGGAGGATTTGCTATTGTTCCGCGCGCTCTTGCAGAGCCGCCAATCATCTCTAGAACCAAACTCAAGATTTGCAATACGTTGTTTCATTTTTCCAGCAATTAATAGCTTTGCGGTACAGATGGAAGTAGTGATTCCTATGGGCAATAGCAGCTGAGCAAGCGGCTGTGAACCAAGGTAGCTAGCTAACAATTACACCACGTCGAAAACTGATATGTCACGGAAAGGGATGTATGGAACGAAGTAGCTATGTGGTTTTAGTTACTATAACCAAGTAGAATATGTTAGCAGTAATCGAATGGTACGCGTCGTAGTCACAGGTAAGAAGTGTAGATCAATGGCGTCGTCCAATGGGCGTCGTTATAGACTTAGCTCTCAGACTAAGGCTCTTGACTCTCCTACACGTCCGTCGGTATTTATGACGGACACCAGCAAATAATACACAGGTGTATGCATATTCCATTATATCAAAAACCAAAACTAGTGAAGTTCATCGCCACCGAGCGGGACCTTAAGCTCACCGCAGACCTCAGGTGGAACTCGTACATACGATCCATTGCTAAAGTACCTGTATCGCTCCAGTAAGTACCTGACTCCTCCAGCTATGCTCTACATTTATAAGAGCCAGAAAAAATATATGGAAGAGAAAAAAAAAAGGAATGGACAAAATGTCGAACAGACAAAGTGTCGAACTGACTTAGTATCGAATGGACAAAGAACAGAATTGTGAAGATGAAGATCAATTATTTCAAAATTCGCTTGAGGATGAAATAGAGCTGCTTTTTTAGCTTTTATTTTTGAAACATGAGAACTCTTATGTAGCAAAGGAATCATATTTAAAAAAAAATAATTATAATTTAGGCTCTTCTTTTGTATTGAGCCCTGTTTATTAAAAATAAAAACAAAAATACTTAGAATTATTTACCTAACGGTTCTTTCCTATTTGTCTATACATTTGGAGGGGAATTAAAAGCAGCATGAATCCATATAACTCTCATCTTAAATAACAACTTAAAAGAGACTGTTTGACCAACAAAAACACTGACCAAAATTCATGTTAAATAACAAAAAAAACAAAAACAAAACAAAAACAAATGAAAACTACAGACAAAAGTTCATTTTCACCATCAAGACATTCATTTCTGTAGTTCACTGCTACCAGCAAGCAGAAAATGATTTTTCTCCTGATGATGGCCATGCTGCCCGAAACTAGTCGAGGAATCTAACTGAAATAATAATAAAAACGAAAGAATATTAATATACAACCCAGTGTGTCTGAAGATTTTAATTTTTAATATTTTTTATTGTTCAATATATATATATATATATATATATATATATATATATATATATATATGAAGAAATATACTCTTAACGTGTGCTATATTTATGGGATAAAGTGCTCAATATCAAAGATAGAGCGTGTGTAAATATAAAAGTGAACATAGAGGTCAACACTTAGAGGCGACAGCCTGTTCCATGCTAGATGCAATCGTCAGACCACCGATGATTACGTCTAGCATGAAACAGACTGTCGCCTCTAAGCGTTGACTTCAATGTTCACTTTTATATATATATATATATATATATATATATATATATATATATATATATATATATATGTGTGTGTGTGTGTGTGTGTGTGTGATTTTGTGCACTAGAATATGTAAGTAATAGGTATGAAGAAGCTACCAAAAGCAAAGGGAAAAGCAAAACAAACGAACGAAATGGATGTTTGAAGTGACGTAAGTCAGTCTAAACAAGCGGCAAAGATATAAAAGAACCATTACTGCCATCGTTTCAAGAGTCAAGAGAAGAATGGAACACACTTAGTGGCTAACAAATCACATTGAATGGAGGAACAACGTAGACGAGGCACACGCAGGGATTAAACCTCTCCGCAACCATAAACTTCAAGTAAAGAGAAAAGAAAGAAATAAAAAAATGAAACAGGAAAACATAAAACAAATCTAACAAAAAAGAAAATAGAAAAAGAAGAGAAATTTGAAATTGCCCAGGAAAAGGAAAACAGGAAAAGCTAAAAACTGAAGATTCCTTGAAGAATAAATCTAATTCGGATAAGAATGGCTTTTTTTTTTTGTATACCGCTATCTATCTATCTATCTATATATCTATCTATCTATCTCAGATCGTTCCTATCTATCTATCTATCTATCTATCTATCTATCTATCTATCTATCTCTGACTTTTCACCTGTCTGCCTGTCTATCTATCATTGTCTTTTCATCTATCTATCTATCTATCTATCTATCTATCTATCTATCTATCTATCTAAGATCGTTCCTATCTATCTATCTATCTATCTATCTATCTCTTTTCACCTGTCTGCCTGTCTATCCATCTCTGTCATTTCATCTATCTATCTATCTATCTATCTATCTATCTATCTATCTATCTATCTATTTTGTTTTACCTATCTATCTATCTATCTATCTATCTATCTATCTATCTATCTATCTATCTATCTATCTATCTATTTCAGTCCGTTCCCATCTATCTATCTATCTATCTATCTATCTATCTATCTATCTATCTATCTATCTATCTCTGACTTTTCACCTGTCTGCCTGTCTATCTATCATTGTCTTTTCATCTATCTATCTATCTATCTATCTATCTATCTATCTATCTATCTATCTATCTATCTATCTATCTATCTCTCTATCTTTTCACCTTTTCACCTGTCTGCCTTCTATCTATCATTGTCTTTTCATCTATCAAATCTATCTATCTATCTATCTATCTATCTATCTATCTATCTATCTATCTATCTATCTCAGATCGTTCCTATCTATCTATCTATCTATCTATCTATCTATCTATCTATCTATCTATCTATGTATCTCTGACTTTTCACCTGTCTGCCTGTCTATCTATCATTGTCTTTTCATCTATCTATCTATCTATCTATCTATCTATCTATCTATCTATCTATCTATCTATCTATCTCAGATCGTTCCTATCTATCTATTTATCTATCTATTTAATTCTCAAATAATGGGACATTGGATAAATAAATGTTATTATTTAAACAAGCGCTTTCCTGTTGTCATGACAACGTAGGTATCCGTCTTTCGCTTCTCGAACCCACAACAAAAACTAAGGCCGTTAATTCTACTACATTCTTTTTTTATCTGCAAAACACAAAAATCCCAGCAGAAACACATTAAGATCTTGACCTCTGTTGACCCCGGTAATCTAGTTAGACACTCCCGCTTGCAAAGGCGTATTTGCCCCGTCGGACGGCAAAAGTTTTTAAATACTTTAAGCTATGGGACCATCAGCACAACTCTCCCTCTTACTCTTTCTCTTTATTTCTCTCTCTCTCTCTCTCTCTCTCACACACACACACACACAGACAAGCGAATATTCGGAAATTAATAATACACTTAGCAATATTATATGTGTATGGTGAGACGAATAGATGGTTCGAGGTTTGCAAAAATCGTTGTCAGTGTTCTGTCAAAAAGGGTCACAGCAACAAATTTGCTTGAGTATGGAAGAAAGTGTTGCATGAAACTTTCTTTTTTATGGACAAATAAAACTTTGTTTATGTCTTTCTGCCTTTCATTTTTTTCTATTATATTTAGATAGATAGATAGATAGATAGATAGATAGATAGATAGATAGATAGATAGATAGTGAAAAGGCAGAGATAGACAGACAGGCATACAGGTGAAAAGACATAGATAGATAGATAGATAGATAGATAGGTGAAAAGTGATAGATAAATAGATAGAGAGATAGGTGAAAAGACAGAGAAAGATAGATAGATAGATAGATAGATACAAACAGTCTGAAATGGATAGATAGATAGATAAGTGAAAAGACAGACAGACAGATAGATAGATAGATAGATAGGTAGATAGATAGATGACCAGACAGAGATATATCGATAGATAGATGAAAAGCTATAGATAGATAGATCGATCGATCGATAGATAAACAGACAGATAGATGAAAAGACAGTTATTTATCGATAGATAGATGAAAATGCATAGATAGATAGATAGATAGATAGATAGATAGATAGATAGATAGATAGATGGAAAAACATAGCAAGAGTCCAAATCTAAAAATATAAATTTCTGAACAGAGATAAGTACTACTTACATGTGAATGAAGAAACTTCTAGCATAGAACTTGCGGTTCTTACATATTGCAAATTTCAATAGTAAAAGGATGAAACCTATCTGCTTATATTCATAAAGTTTAGAAAGCAAAGCGGAAAGCTCATCAGAACAGTTACCATGGAAACCATATATATATATATATATATATATATATATATATATATATATATATATATATATATGGCACAGGGAAGCTATTTTACGGCGTTGAGAAGTTACTGAACCCGAGATACTAGATAACATTGAGGAGTTTTCTTTGGATGTTGTCTATCAAATACATTGTAGAAGCACTAGATCAGATATGGCAATATTCATTGCACATACGAATGGCTGACTTATAAACATGCAAGCAGATCCAGGTGAGAAAAATTGTTTCGCACGACAGAGGGTACCAAGCAGCAAACTTTGTACTCTACCCACAGTAGAGCCCCAAGTAGCCGTGCATTTTCTAGAAGAGTTATTTAAAAAATAATAGCCTGCAGTCGTATGCTGCACAAGGTGTGAGGATTACGGATCCCTCCATCTAGAAACCGACAAAGTGTTTCAATTTTTGTTGAATGACAAAAAATAGAAGCTTACATTATCGATTACTCAGTTCTCATGTAAGTGGGAACTTACCTGTTCGGAAGAAGTCAGAACTGGTAACTAAAATAAAATTATATAAAATGCTGTCACGTGATTATAAGTAATTCTATTTCCTAGTAGAAACCTTGAGAAAATCCAATTTAAGACGTATTAAATTAAAGAGAGGCAAAGAGAGAGGGAAAACGAACTGACAACACTCCCAATTAGGATGGAAAGGATGCAGAGACTTGGCACGCAACCTAGGCATATAGAGGGAGTTGTTCAGGCGCCTAGCAGCTGTGACCACACCCGATAATAAAACGAATGATGATGATGTTGATGAAATAGACGTTCTTTGTTAACAGTCTATATATATAATTTGCCATATATATATATATATATATATATAGATGTGTGTGTGCGCGCAAAGTGTGTATATAAATATAAATATATATATATATGTGTGTGTGTGCGTGCGTGTGTGTAAAATATTAAATTATCAGTTTGTCTGACGATTGCAAAAGCGTGAAACCCAGAGTCACAAACTCACATCAATGCAACCATATATATATATATATATATATATATATATATAAAAAGTGAACATTGAAGTCAACACTCAGAGGCGACTGGTGTTTCATGCTAGACGCGATCGTCAAGCCTGATGATTGCGTCCAGCATGAAACAGCCTGTCGCCTATGAGTGGTAACATCAATGTCAAATTTTTATATTTATATTTACATATGTTCTATCTCTGATATTGAGCACTTTATCCCATAAATATAACACACCTTAAAAGCTACATTTCTTCATATATATATATATATATATATATATATATATATATATATATATATATATATATTTCTTTCATATATATATATATATATATATATATATATATCGATAGATAGAGAACATTAGTGGTCAATATACATTTACATACATACACACATTAAGGTGAGGGTAGGGAATAAAATTTAAAAGAGCAAAGTTTTAAAGAGAGGCGTTAAATAAAGGTTTAAATGAGTGAGATACAGATAAATATGAATTATTTTCCGATGCATAAATCACTACCGATTCGTTGACCCAAAATTAAAAAAAACAGATTGGATCGTGATTACGATCCCAATGTAATAAATTATAACCATGGAATATTGGTGTTTGAGCCTTTTATATTATATTATATTATATTATATATATATATATATATATATATATATATATATATATATATATATATATATATATGCACATTTCATTGAGTACGACTGACAAGGTGATTTTATTTAGTTTGTTATACAATTTCTCATACAATCTAATATTTTTTTCTTTTCAGATGATCAATACTTAATACTATCAACTATGATTTCCATGTGTGTTTATAAATTGTACTCTGTTCGATTATTAACGTTAACAACGAACTATTTTAAATTACAACATTTTACATAGATTAACCTAAAATTACTTACAATATAATACATATTACTTATAATACATTCCTTCTTGCTGTCAATTGTGACGGCATATGTACACTAGTTTAAAATTAACGCAGGGGACAATGTTATTTATGGTAAGTGTATTTTGGGCGATTGCCTTAGTCAGTTTCAGTCGTTCGTTATTGTACGTCTAAAATTTCCCTTTTATCACGGTATTTTGGTTAAGATCAGAGTGTAATATCTGTTTTTATCAGCTTAATCTGATACTCTTTCGCCACATCTATCTTCCCTGCTTTCATTCATTTTCTCACTGAAACCATGTAGTGTCCTCCTAGCATAGAACTTACAGTTACATCTTGCCATTTCATCTAGCAATTTCAACTGTAGGATAATGAAACTTCTAACTATTAGAATAGAGTCCCCCGAGATACCACCCGTCACGAATGTATGTTCCTTTGGAGAGGGGACACGCCTTGGGTTACTATTGGGCTTGATACTCAACCCAGACTTCAAGTAGAACTCGAAGATGCGATCCATCTCTAAAGATCCTGGAAAAAAGGTCGGTTCTGTGTACCGCACCAGTAAGTATCTGACTCTTGATGATTACCCTTACAAAAGCCAGATCAGACCCTAAAGAGAGTACTGTTGTAATATTTAGACATGAGTTGCCCAGCCCTCACTCTTGACGGCACGGTATACTAGTACGAAATAAACGTTTGTGTTTTAATTTCTAGGATGAAAAGTTATCATTATTTACTTGGTGACAGTAATTGTGATTTCTAATTCTCCAATGACACATGGCCCAGTGGATAAAAAAAAACCTTGGTTGTGTTCAATACCTGGCCATAACAGAGTAAACAAAAACTTTGAGAACTACTAAAGATAATTAATTTAAACTGAGATAAAGAGGTTGGACAAAATAATTGCAAAAGTTGCAAAATCCATTCCTATATTTCAAAGACCTATTATATTAAAATCTTTAACTAAAACTTTGTAATTGCAGGTTATATCTATTGTAAATACGTTTATTTATCTAATTTACTGTCTTTGTCGTATTTTTTTTTAGAATTTAGTAAAATTTAAGAGCATGTGAGCTAGAACACATGGAGTGGACTCTCCAATCTCATTTGTGATGCATTTTGGAGAAAAAACAAGTTAAGAGCCTCCGAAGTCGAAAAAGAGCAAATTGTTGGAGCACGCATGGCAGGAGCCTTGATCACTAAGGTTGCTGAACTGTTTTGTTTCTCAAGAGCTACCATATCAAGAACACTGATGCAATTCGAGAAACAGGCTAATACCTCTAGCAACCATAATAATTCGGGCCGGACTTGCAAGCTTACTGACAGGGACTGATGTGCATTGAAACGCAATGTGGCAAAAAATCATCGGACAAATGCGGCCAAAGTGACTGCTGAGTTGAATAACCATCTGAATAGTTCAGTTTCTACTAAAACCGTTCACTGTGAGCTCCATAAGGCTGCATATCATGGAAGAGCCGCCGTGAGGAAACCTATTCTCTCCACACGCAACAGTTAATCAAAAGAGGTTGAAGTGGTGCGGAGATCACAATGCCTGGTCTGCAGACCAATGTAAGCAAGTCAATATTCTCAAACAAGTCTAGTTTTTCTCTTTTCCCAACTTCAGGGCGAGTTTATGTGTAGAGGCAGACCAAAGAAGCTTACAACCCTCACTGCCTTCTTCCAACAGTGAAACATGGAGGTGGATCAGTGATAGTTTGGGCCGCCATATCATGGAAATGTCTCAGTCCAATAGTTGCCCTGCATGGTAGAATCAACTGCAAAGAACATTTGGGAGATCATGTTCATCCAATGGCCAAGACTTTATTCCCTGATGGTGACTGCATCTTCCAAGACGATAATGCTCCAATACATACCACTCGAGTGATTAAGAATTGGTATGAAGAGCATGAAATTGAGCTAGAACACATGGAGTGGCCTCCTCAATCTCAAGATATCAATATTATTGAACATTTGTGGTGCATTTTGGAGTAACAAGTTAGGAGCCGCTATCCTCCACCGTTGTGTCTTAAAGAGCTGGAGAAGGTGTTAATGGAAGAATGACTGAAAATTCCTCTGGATGAAGTCAGGAAGCCGTATGATTCCATTCCTAGACGTATTAAAGCTGTCTGTGAGGCTAAAGGAGGACCAACTCCATATTAAATAAATTTTCTTTGAATTTAACAAGTGTTCCAATTATTTTGTCCAATCCCCCTGTATCTAGAAAAGGCATGGCTTGTGGAACTAGAACAATCTTCCCCGGGGGAGGAAATAAATGGTTTGGTTCGAAATTCCAACGTATATTACCTGACGAAGGCTGGAGCGTACAACGACCGAAACGTCGTAAATATGGCAATAAAAATGAGGACAACAGTGCGAACGATGTAAATACTTTCTACATATTTAAAGTTCTGTACTTGTTTGCGGTTTGCAACATACATATTCTTATAATCTATAATTCTTACGGCATTCACTATTCAGTAGCTCTTGCATTGTGTGAAAAAAGTCAAAGTCCAAATGATCAGTAAAAGTGGCCTTGTACCAGACTAGTCACTTGCGCAATGTAAGGAGTATGCAAGAATTATTGTTCCACTTTAGTTGCCTAGACTTAACAAATGCTTTACGAACGAAGATAAATATTAATAAATAAACGTTGTATTGGCGACTGGGGATTCAAGTTGTTTGCGAAAATCAAAATGAGACGAGGTCAGCTTTGTGTGCATTACGTTTGACTCAACAGGGTCAAAAGTGAACGGGTAGAGAGGGTCGATGTAATTTGTTTATCTGTCTGGGTCTGTCGAAGAAGAGAAGGAGAAAACAAAAAAAAAACATGTCACCAAGGAGGTCCGTTCAAATAGAGAAACCCTCGCCTCAGATTCCTCAAAGCACAACGACAATCGACTATATAACAACCTCCATCGGCACACCTCTACATTTTATCCTTCTGTTATTTCACCTTTCCTCAGATTTGCGCAGGTGATCACCCCGACTTTTAATCACTTTCTCATTGTGGAGACGCTTCGATTTGCTGGCTGTGGGGCCAGAAAATCAAACTTACATTAAAATTTAAATTCAATGCTAATCATTAAATTCTGTCTTAATTTTTGCTCTTTTATTCATATCTTTCCATAATAATGTTTACTTTATATCATTATCTCACATTCAGTAACCACCGCATTGAATCTTAGTGGCTTTATTGCCTTATTTCGAGTGAGATGATTAAAAGAGATATACTAAAATACTATAAACATTTAAATATTAGTAATACTAAAATATTATATATTTATTTTAAATAAAGTCTCAAAATATTTGATACAATTTTTATAGAAGAGAAAAAATCCATATTAAACACAATATCCTTCACGATATGGAATCGCATTTTAAAAGGTTTTTAACATATTTTCAAATCTCTTAATGTCCGCTTCAAAATATATTTAGTTGTAGTCATAAAATTGTATTCAAAATTTTTCAATTAAATTTCTGCATAAGGAGTCGATATGCGGTTAAAAAAACAAAACGCTGAATATTGCTGTCACATCTACTCAGGTGCTTCTGCTATGTATTTACTGATTCTTAATGAAATACAAAAAAAAGAATCTGCAATGTTATTAGTCCTGACTAGGCATCTCGGTTTCAGTCAATTGTCAACCGCCGTAAATGTAACTTCCCTCTGCCTTTTCTTTAAATATTTTCATGGTAATTGTTCTGATGAAATTTCCTTTTTGGTACCTAGACTTTATGAATTTAAGCACAGTACTTTATTGGTGGTAAGCTCTCATCATTTTACAATGGAAATAGCTAGATGTAACCGTAAGTTCTATGCTAATAGGTTCTTCTCCCGCCGGCTTCTTGCTTTCGAGTTAACTTTGAGCTTCAAAATATATATGCAATGTCAATCATTGTCTTCTCTCTCCTTAATTCCTGTTCTTTTATTGTTCTCTCTCCTTAATAATGTTTTTGTTTCTCATATTACTTGACACTCAGTAATGCTTAGTGGCTTCTGTGCCTTGCTTGGGGTGAAAGATTAAAAAATAGGACATCAATAACGACTGAGTAGTGAGTTAGATCCTCATTAGGAACATCATAATTTCGACATTGTGTCACCTCTAAACTACACTTAATAAATTGCTACATCTATCTGTCGTTATTGTCGGCATCCGTCCGTCTCGAGAGAAGATGGAGTAGCGCAGTGCGCTACGAGCCTGGGCGGTATATATGGAGAACTAGGGCTGCCCGGACGTCTAGTTCCCCCTCTCGGCCTTGCTTGAAGAGTCCAAGGGAGAGGATAAACCAATACAGTTTGGTACCAGCGCGGCTGCAGGAGTTGCCGGAAGGTAGCACAAAGTGCCGTCCATCTGCCTTAGGGGCTTCACTCCGGGTTTGAATTCAGGGTTGTCCTTCTCCTAGACCAGTTGCCATCCAAGGCCTAGTCCTGCTATTTACCCATAGCTGGGGGGTGAAAAGGATTCACAGCTTTCCCAAGGGTATTAGCACCTAAGTGAATGTAATCGATTTGACTGGAAATCGATTCCTCAATCCAAGCCGCTATCCATTACTCCACCGTGCCTAAAGATAATAGGAAAACTGTAATTTTAGCCGACGCGTTTCGTTCAATGTGAGCTTCTTCAAGGCAAAAAACGAAATGAATTTATTAAAGCAAAGTATCTATGAACAACAAACAAAATCTAATTAGACGGTGGAGTAATGCATAGCGGTTCGAATTTAGGAATCGGAGAGCCGAGTTCGATTTCCAGTCGAATCCATTACATTCACATACATGATAATACCCTTGGGAAAGGTATGAATCATTTTCTTCTCCCCCTAGCTATGGATAAATAGCAGGATAGACTGGGTTCTATAGCCTTAGCTGGCAACTGGTCTACCGAGGGAAAAATTGTGCTGCGTGTGCAGACCCCACGTGTAAAATATCAGTCAGTTATGTGCGATACGTGATACACGTTTAGGCGATCATGTATCCTTTGATACATGACTGACGAGGCAGATTTCCCGCAGTAGGTTGTCATTTCTTTCTGCGCTAGACCAGTTGCTATCCAAAGCTATAGAACCCAGTCTGTCCTGCTATTTACCCATAGCTGGGGGGAAGAAAAGCATTTTTACCTTTTCCCAAGGGTATTAGCACGTAAGTGAATATAATGGATTCGACTCCCCGATTCCTCAGTCCGAACCGCTATCCATTACTCCAGCTGGGTAAGTTTGAAATTAATCTTAGCTCAAGCCTCATGAATTTATCCCTCCAGGCAGCGGGTAGGGGTCATTACCCGGCGCCTCAGTGAGTTTGAGCAATTTTTTTCACATTATTGTCGGTAAACTTACTTTAAATTTTGACCTTGTGTCACATTCGGTAGCAGTGTGGGCGCACTGAATCATACCTTCTTACTTCCGTATATATCCACTCACCCAAAACACACCCACATACATTTACGCAGAGAGACACTCCCCCATATGTATGTATGTGTTTATGTATGTATTATGCTTTGATTGAATTAATAATTGTACCTGATTGAACCAAGACGTTGATAGTTAAGTTTCAGGCATTTTACTTTCGTTTCAAATGGACTTCAAAAGGAAGGCGTCAAATCAATTGGGCACAGACAAATAAACGAACCGACAGATGGATTCTATATTATAATAGATGAAAAGAAGAAAAGAAAAACACAGGGAGAGATGTTGGTAAAGGGTAGTCATCCATTCTAACATTTTTTTTTATCGCAAGATGGCGCTGGCGTCAGTGCGTTTCTCCTTTCAAGGTTAAAGTATTGCACAAGTCAATATTGTTACCGGGTGCTCTAAGGGCGGAAAATCCGCCATTGATAGCGGGATCAACCTCCCTGCTTTCTGCTTTTCATGATGGACACAGGTTTTACGTGGTCAGGGAGCACGAAGAAGTTGGTTTATTCATCGCGTACAACCAATGGGCAGTTCGAGACGTGACGCCAATGAAAGACGAAGATAACATTGCAAACTAAATTCGATTAATTCTTGACACTGACAAGCTTCTATTTGTTATATTACGTCGTGAGGATTTTGTGTGGCAATTTAAGAGTCATATTCAGGTAGAGTCTTTTATTTAACGCTATAGACAAGATTAATAATGTTTTCAAGGAATGATTGAAGATTGCGGGACGATATCACACGAGAAAAGGATATATAAACTCATTCAAGAATATGATATCACTGGAGAACATGATACATAAACCCATGTGGGAATAGGATATCAAGCGAGAATATCATCCATAAACTCATGTTAGAATATGATGAATAGACACGTGGAATAATACGATATCACTGGAGATTATGACATAAACTATTGAGAGAATATGCTATCACGGGAGAATATAATCCATACACTCGTGAGAGAATAGAATATCACGGGAGAATATGATCTATAAACTCGTGAGAGAATATGATATCACGGGAGAATATGATCCATAGACTCATGGGAGAATATGATATCACGGGAGAATATGATCTATAAAGACATGGAGAAATATGATATCACTGGAGAATATGATCCATAAACTCATGGGGACTATGATATCATGGGATAATATGATACATAAACTCGTGGGAGAATATGATATCACGGGAGAATATGATCTATAAACTCATGGAAGAATATGATATCACTGGATAATATGATCTATAAACTCAGGGGAGAATATGATATCAATGGAGATTAGGATATATAATCACGCGTGAGCATATGATATTACTGGAGATTATGATGCATAAACTCATGGGAGAATATGATATCACGGCAGAATATGTTACAAGAACTCATGAAAGAAATATGATATCACTGTAGAATATGATCTTTACACTCATGGGAGAATATGATATCGCAGGGGATTCGGATACATAAACACATGTGAGAATATGATATCACTGGGGAATATGATCCATAATCTCATGGGATTATGTATCACTGGAGATTATGACACATAAACTCAGAGGAGAATATGATGTCAATGGAGAATAGGATACGTAAACATATGTGAGAATATTATATCACTTGAGAACATGATACTTACACTTATATGAGAATATGATATCACAGTCCATAAAAACATGGCAGAATATGATATCACGGTAGAATATAATACATAAACTCATGGAAGAATATGATTTAAAAACTTTCAAAGATTGAATTGTCAAATATGATATGAACCTGAATCCCCACCCACTGTGCAGGAAAAGCTGTCGTTAAATCTGGAAAGGCAAATCTATTCCGATTCTTCTAATATACATATCTGTTCAGTTTCATATCCTAACTTAGCCAAAGCAATTTCTAAAGAAGTGATTATTTTTTTTATTTATCGATCCGACTAATTCGAATAATTACTTATTTTCTGTAATCGACAAATTTGCTAAATTTCATATTTATTTTATATTTTTTCCCGAGTACTTTCGGATATTACTTTTGATTGTGTTTTGTGTATATTTACGCATCTGTATTTGGTCAATTCCGTCGTTCTTACGTATCTGCATTTGGTCAATTCCGTCGTTCTTACGTATCTGCATTTGGTCAATTCCGTCGTTCTTACGTATCTGCATTTGGTCAATTCCGTCGTTCTTACGTATCTGCATTTGGTCAATTCCGTCGTTCTTACGTATCTGCATTTGGTCAATTCCGTCGTTCTTACGTATCTGCATTTGGTCAATTCCGTCGTTCTTACGTATCTGCATTTGGTCAATTCCGTCGTTCTTACGTATCTGCATTTGGTCAATTCCGTCGTTCTTACGTATCTGCATTTGGTCAATTCCGTCGTTCTTACGTATCTGCATTTGGTCAATTCCGTCGTTCTTACCTATCTGTATTTGGTCAATTCCGTCGTTCTTACGTATCTGCATTTGGTCAATTCCGTCGTTCTTACGTATCTGCATTTGGTCAATTCCGTCGTTCTTACGTATCTGCATTTGGTCAATTCCGTCGTTCTTACGTATCTGCATTTGGTCAATTCCGTCGTTCTTACGTATCTGCATTTGGTCAATTCCGTCGTTCTTACCTATCTGTATTTGGTCAATTCCGTCGTTCTTACGTATCTGTATTTGGTCAATTCCGTCGTTCTTACGTATCTGCATTTGGTCAATTCCGTCGTTCTTACGTATCTGCATTTGGTCAATTCCGTCGTTCTTACGTATCTGCATTTGGTCAATTCCGTCGTTCTTACGTATCTGCATTTGGTCAATTCCGTCGTTCTTACGTATCTGCATTTGGTCAATTCCGTCGTTCTTACGTATCTGTATTTGGTCAATTCCGTCGTTCTTACATTTGCTGGAACCAATTTTGTGTAACTAGCATCTATGTATGTATGTATGTATGTATGTATGTATGTATGTATGTATCTATCTATCTATCTATCTATCTATCTATCTAAATCTGTTCATTATCTATCTATCTATCTTAATATTCATATCTATCTATCTATCTATCTATCTATCTATCTATGTGTGCATATATGTATGTGTGTATCTATCTATCTATATATGTACGTATGTATATATGTATGCATGTATGTATGTGTGTGTTTATCTATCTATCTATCTATCTATGTGTGTATCTATCTATCTATATATGTATGTATATATGTGTGTGTGTATCTATCTATCTAATCTGTTCATTATCTATCTATCTTAATATTTATATCCATCTATCTTAATATTCATATCTATCTATCTATCTCTCTATCTATCTATCTATGTATGCATGTATGTATGTGTGTATCTATCTATCTATCTATCTATCTATCTATGTATGTATGTATGTATGTATGTATGTATGTGTGTGTTTATCTATCTATCTATCTATCTATCTATCAGCGTCACACCATTGTATGAAATAATGACAACTGTGAAATAATTATTTTGGTTTTGTTGGCTTTATTTTACGGTATGCTAAACTTTCTCAGCTTATTTAATGCTGCAATTCTGTTGTTTTGATAAACGATTGATATAAAAAAAAAAAAACAAAGTTTTGGTTTGCATGAGTCAAAAAGGTCGATGAGACAGAAGGTTGGGTCACAAAGGTAGATTGTGCGCAGGCGTAGTCAAATCAGCGGTAACATAAACTTAGTCCGATGAACTCCAAATTGCTAAAAAAACGCGTCAAGCGAAAACCTTCTGCACTTTGTGATCCTTCTTTTTCCTTAAAATCGTTATTGATATCTAAAAAAAAATGATGTCGTTATACAAATTAAATAATTTTTTTTTCTAAAAAATTTCTTCAATTTCCAAAGTCGGCTAAAACTGAACTAATTTGCCGAAAATAATGACATCTGGCGCCTGCCCTCATTTTAATTCTCCTCGGTGAAACCATTTCATTGATGTAAACTACTGAACAAGAACGGGTCGCTTTTTCATATGAGTCGACGACGTCTCAAGTTTAAACCTCGGACGCCGGGTAACAATAATTCTACTTTCTAAGTGTTTTGAACTACACTCCGGAGACTTGCACATTACACACATGCATAATAAAATCTATTCCGCGCAAGGTGTGGCTTGCAAACAAATCTAAATTTTTTTCAAAATGGACTCTCAGGCTGAAAGTGTGACGAGCTTTAGGTAATTTCTGTATGACGTATAAGTATATTCAACTGGGAAAGAAAGTAAAAAAAGAAAAGAAGGCTATTGTTTTTTTATACTAGCCTGGTATCGCTTAGTCTGGCACAAGGCGACAATATCGGAGCACCCACTGAGAATCAAACTAAACATTCTAGTATATAGTTCAGCTAGGAGAATATATTTCTTTTTCTGATTTATACATTTACACACATACACGCACACACACACACACACACACACACACACACACACACACACACACACACACACACGTATGCACGCAAAGTTATTAGTGTTACTCTCCCCCGTTACCAAATATATATATATATATATATATATATATATATATGGCCTGACGATTGCATCTAGCATGAAACAGACTGTCGCCTCTAAGTGTTGACTTCTATGTTCACTTTTATATTTACACACGCTCTATCTCTGATATTGAGCACTTTATCCCATAAATATAGCACACCTTAAGACTATATTTCTTTATATATATATATATATATATATATATATATATATATATATATATATATATATTGTGCAAATGTCTAAACATAAGTTTAATTTTTAATAGGGAAAAAATTTCTTAGCAGCTTCTCATATTTTTTAAATAATTTCATCCCAAGCATGTTAATAAAGTCACTAAGACGCAAAGGATTTAATGAGTGTGAAAGAATATGAGAAAAAGAAAACATAGAGACCAATAATTTCTGGAATTGACATGACATGTGAGCCTTTGAAGATCAAAATTGACTGGAAGGCAAGCAGCTGGAGTAGAGTTCCACAAGCAAGAAGTGCGAGAGAAGAAACTGTTAGCATAGAACTTACGATTACATCTAACCATTTCAACTGTAATATGATGAGACCTATCTGCCAATCTAGTACTACACTTAAATTCGTTAATTATTTCTAATCGAGAGAGGAACACGCCAACAATTCGTTAAGTCTAGCTATTCAGTAGGAAAAATCATCAGAGGAATATTCATATGTAAATCCTGTTCGAACTCCTCCCCTGTCTTTTGAACAGGCATAGTGGGGTCACTTTTTCCAGCTTACAATAGGGTTTACGGCTCCTTCTAAAGTTTCTTTCATTCTGTTTCACTCCCAGTAGCCCCTAGTGTCATACTGGTGTCATCACGTTGCTTGTGGTGAATATATATATATATATATATATATATATATATATTGAATTTTTAGGTCTGATGTTTTGGATCGTATTTACGATTCCACTGGAATAAATTATGACCATGGAATATTAGTGTTTAAGCCATTTTATTATATATATATATATATATATATATATATATATATATACATAAGACATTTTCATGTTTATACATTCTTTTTATAGATACAAATATTTAAGTAAATTCTCTGTTTATAAAAAACAGTATTAACAACATTTACCGACCTGAGTGTCCGAGAAATTGTCATAGAAAATATGCGTCCTCCGACAGTAAAAACACTAAAATCGACCTTGCTGACTGAAACGCACCTCTGTGGCGAAATCGGTAAAGTTCCGTAGAGGATACAGGTTCGATTCCAGTTGTTAATACTGTTTATTATAAACAGAGCATATACTTAAATACGCGGTAAAATCGCCGTATTGATACATATTTCGTTTGTTTCCGAGTAGTTTCGACATAGGACAATGTCATCATCAGGGTATTGTTTATTACGGGATAAATGTTGTACTGTTCGTTATTGTGAAAGACAAAAATTGTCTTGATTTTTGTAATTTATTTGCTTATTTATTAAGATGGCCTACAATACATATCCCGTTCAATACTAAAAATTTGCTTGTCACTGACCTGACCGTAAGCAGGTGAGTATGTCTCTTAGGGGCATATCTGTTTCTGAGCGGAAATAGTGAAGGAGAGTCATACTTAGATATCATATAGTTATTATTTTTTTAAGGATGAGGCAACCCAGGCGACTTAGGAGACACACCTAGATACTTAGGAACACACTCAATAGGAAAAAGTCTGAAGTATTTCTAATTAGGTCTTAACTGTAAGCTCATGCAATTCTATTAATGAATCATGTCACCCTATCGGTCACATTTGGCTGTGATCTATGTGGGTAGTACATCAGCGTCACTTTGTTGGCGTGTTCCTCTTTCGATTAGAAATAATAAAAATAATCATGATAATGATAAGAAGAAGAAGAATACAGCATACCCACATGATGGAGACAGTAAGTAAAGAATACAGTAGATGTGTGCATCGGTTGTATTGTTTTTCTTACTTTCTCGATAAAAACAATATTCTTCCCTTGGAAGAGAGGTCAGATGTCAGAGAGGTTTATATACTTGCAAAGATTAACTATTGACAAAGAAAATGATCCTGGAAAATTGCAAGAAAAGAGATAAAAATCGCAGCACATCATGGATGGATTACTGTAAAGTTTTTGATATTTTGCCGCAATCTTGGATCCTTAAGACTTTGAAAAGTGTTATGGTGAAACACACCTATTCTACAGTTAATAGACTCTCCCACCTAATATAAGTAGTAGTAGTAAGAGAAACGACGGTCAGTCGATGTTGGACGACCGGCTGAAAGGTTGAACTCTCTGCCTTCGGGCGGGGAGGAACCTGAACGAGGCTACACCGAGGGGCGGAGTCTCGTTCAGGGAGGTAAACCGGCCCCGAGCCTGGTTTATATGGGTTCAATGGGCATATTTTCGGAGATCCCACGTTAAACCGGCCTTGTGCCACATGATACCCTCGTGGGGGGATGACTAAATATTAGTCGATGTCGGACGACAGTAGTCGACAGTTAGTCGAATACGAAAGTAGTCAGCGACCACAACAAGATTACTCTGCGTAATACCTATTATATCAAGTTCCTAACGTTTTGTACGTCGAACTATTTAGGACCGATTTAGTACAAATACAAGCCTCCACTGCGAAATAACTCCACAACAGAAATGTACGCAGTCTCTTCGGTGACAGTAAACAGAGCCACTTCCAAAGACGAGGAAATTTTTCAAGGAAACTCCCTGTCAACCCATCTGTTCTGCACGTCCTTAATCCACCTTTAATATGAACTAAACAGTAATAACTATAGATACAAAGTGAAAAAGAAAGTCTTTAATCACCTAATCTACATAGATGATCTCAAATTCTTTGTCAAAGACAGCAATGAGTTGAAAGGTTTGGTTTGTTTTGTTTTACGGCATATCAACCTCAATAGATCATTTAATGCCTACAACTTTTTCCTGGTAATATTTTTGTTTTGTCAAAAATCTATTTCTGTTAATATTATTTTTTCAAAAACGTATAGCTGGTAATATTATTTTTTCCAAAAACGTATAGCTGGTAATATTAATTTTCAAAAACGTATTTCTGGTAATAGTTTTTTTTTTCAAAAACGTATTGCTGGTAATATTTTTGTCAAAAATTTATTTCTGGTAATAATTTTTAAAAAGTATTTCTGGTATTAAAACCTATTTTTAAACATTTATAATTCTCTTTTACCTCAGTTTCGGGGTTAACTATTTGCCCATAGCTGGGACCCTAACAGGTGCTACCACCTCGTGTCAGGGTGGACCTGAGAACACCAGCAATTAAGAGGTGGTTCCACGCTCCTCAAAGCCTCCTGATCAGAGGCCTTGCTACTGGACGTAGTTTATCGTCTTACCCTAGACGCGGTGTAGTTTATCGTCTTACTCAGGACGCAGATGTAGCCTAACAGGTGCTACCATTCCGGATATAGTTTATCGTCATATCCAGGACGCAGTGTGTTGAAAGGTCTCTTCAATAATATACAATGTTTCAGTGATAACATCGGTATGTATTTTGGATTAGAGAAATGGGCAAATGTAACATTCAAGAAAGAGAACTTTACGGAAACACTCTCAATAGATATAGATTTTGTTACAAAGATTACGGAACAGAAGCAAGAAGAAGCCAATAAATACCTAGGAGTCAGAAAGGAAGTTGAATACAGCATACCCAGATGGAGGAGAAAATAAGAAAAGTATATTACAGGCGTGTACGTCTGGTGTTAAATACCGACCCGAATTCACAAAATGCAATATCAGCCATAAACACTTTGGCTGTCCCTGTGGTGCAATATAGTTTCAACATTCTTAACTAGACCATAGCTGACATTAAGCTAGTCAAAACGAGAAACCTTCTCACTTTCCCTGCTTGCATCATCCTCAAGCTGATGTTGATTATCTATATTTGTCTAGATCTGAAAGAGGCAGAGGATTAGTTCAACTAGAAATGTCTCACAAAATAGCAATCGGTCTTCAAAGATATCTGGAAACTACATGAAAACTGGGTGATGATCTGTGTCAAAGAACGCCCACAAATTCGAAAAGGGACTTTCAAGTCTGTGAAAAAGTGCAAATAAACCATAATACATCTACTGCAGAAGCAATGTACCAAATGAAGAAACGATGGCAAGTTTAGACACTTCGTGTTCAATACTCTTCCCGTACCAAACAGACAAATCTTGACAAACGCCGTACCCATCAGTGCTTGCAGGGTTAAAAGATTAAACTGGAAGTTTTATTCTTGTTGCACAAGACCAATGTTTGCTAACTAGAAATTACCAAATACACATACTGAAAAATTGTGTTGACCCCCAAATGCAGATTCTGTGACAAATAACTAGAAACTTTAATCATCTTGTATCAGGTTTGCACGGTATTGGCATCCACTGAATATAAAACTCAGCATGATAAAATGGGCTAATAGCTGCACTGGAAAATACACAACTTTTACGGGAAGGAAACTGCAAGAAATTAGTATGAACATCACCCAGATCCGGTGACAGATACAGGATCTGTAAGAATATCATAGGACATTATACACAGAGACAGAACAATCAAAGCTAATCGCCCAGACATTGTGATTAGAGAATGAAAAGACAAAATGTGAATTCTTATTGATATGACAGTCCCTTCAGATTGTAATGTATCTTTGAAGATCTTCAAAAAAATATCAATATGCAAGAATCTTGAAGTAGAAATCTACAATTGTGGCACATGGAGATATCAATAATTCCATTTGTAGTCCAATAGATTCCTTAAAGGGATTTCTGGTAACACATGCCTTAAAGAAATACAAAAATATTGCACTCACAAGTACAGTTCACATATTACGAAGAGCTTTATCTATGTAAAATGTGTGTGTGATCTTTTTTTCAAAAATGATTAGTGGAAAATGTCATGAAGCTATTTCTGACCGCTGGTCTTTGATCGGGACCTGGAAAAGAATGTGTATACAACAGAATCTAAGGAAATAATAATAATAATAATAATAAGAAGAAGAAGAAGAAGAAGAAGAAGGAGAAGAAGAAGAAGAAAGACGAGGAGAAGGAGGTGGATGTAAAAAAAATAAGAGGAGGAGGAGAAATCAAAGAGAAAAGTTTGCAGAAAGAATGTGAATGGAAAAAGTAGAAAGAAAGAATAAAAAAAATGAAAATATGAAAAAGTGCAAGAAAATACAATGAGAAAGAAGAGAGAATAGAAAAGATGGAATAAACGTAAAGTGGGTCGGAGAAGAGGAGAGGAGAAGGAAAGTAAGAAAGAAGAAGTGGTAAAATAGGGAAACAGAAGTAGATAGAAAGAGGAATGTGGGCAACGATAAAAAAAAAAGAAAGTTGGAGAAAGAGTCAGAGAATGAAGGAAATCAAAAAGCGAATCTCGCAGACCAAAAATTAGACCCTCCTCCCACAAAAAAAATATAAGGAAGAGATTGAAGAAAAAAATGGAAGCGAAACACGGAGAGAAAATGGGAAAGCGAATAAAAAGAAAAAAAAAACATAAAATACCAAATGGAGAAAAACTACAAAATAAATGCGATTAACAAAACAAAAACCTTACGCAGAAGGTAACAATAAATAAATAAATTGAAGAAACAAATTCCTGTCTGATACCCAACTACGTCTGACATCAACGAACTGCGCCCCGTACGAATTTCAATGACGCCTGCTAATTCTTTAGCCAAATTCAGGCAGAAAGTATACAGTAGTTTATTCGAAAGTGAGCGCTGTCTCTTCAAATGGCCAGCCTCTATAACATTTATCTTGACGCCAACTCTTCTTCTTCGAGAAGGTGGCACAAGCTGAAGGGTTGTTGTTTGGTTGGCGGTCGAGTGGGAATCTCTTCGGCGAAACCAAACATAAATATGTCAAGATGGCCGCCTCTGTGTCCACAGTGCCGTCCATCAATTGTCTTACTTCTGTCTTTTGACGGGAGACAGGCCACGTCGGAGGATGACTCCAAATAGACATTAAGAAAAGAAAATTCATCACCATTCTTCTTGACACTGATAAGGCCACTACCAAAACCCAAAACAGGACTACTACTACTACTACAAATAATACTACAACTTAGTAACGAAATTTATTTTCCATGCTTGTGAAATCTATGACACTCACTATTATTATTTTATTGATGTTTTTCCTCCATTATATTTTTGCTGCTTTCCTGTCCAAACAATTTGAAAAAAAAAAAAAAAAACTAGTGACGTCCAATCGAGCGTACCCTGAATGTTCCCCTCCTCAGGAAAGTTATGTGTCTTGGGTGCCTATTGGGCTTATTGACCTCAAGTAGAAATAGTGCATACACCCTTGTGTAAATTAATTGAAACAAAACGAAGAATTCCATTATTATTTACTTTTTTCATCTCTCTATAATGAAACATGACCCAGTGCACATGTAAATACTTCGTATGTCCATTCCGCGTAGTCTTTCCTTGCAGATTGACCACAGATTTTCGATTGGATTTAAATCAGGAGAGTTTCCGGTCCAGTCTCTAGTACTTGGATTTTCTCACTGGTAAGGCTTACCAGTGTGTTTGTGCAGCGTTACAATTTTCATGCGCTTTTTTGGAGTAACGTCCATCGCAGACAATGGCCGTAGGACAACTAATCGACAGTCGAGAAAGTAGTCTCTGAGCGTGATAAAAATCTGATGCAATCACGGATGACGCAATATTTTTCAAGGCCAAACAAATTTCATACATCATACAACCCATAAAAAGATTCATATTATTGCACAGCCCTGCAAATGGCCTAATCTGAGGAAAAAAAACCCCAGAAATCTATTACATCCTGTCACTCGAGTGGGCCTAAAACTGAGCGTATGGTGAAAGAAAGGAAACTAAAGCAGTTGTTTCAATTAATTACACAGGGCTGTAGATAATGATAAAATTGAAACTGCCGAAACAAAAACTATTCATGTCATCCATTGTCACTTCTTTAGTTAATTTTAAGCAAAATGTTTTTAATGTTGTTAGATTATTTTCGAATATACACCCTTAGTCAAATTAAATGAAACATATCAAATAATTCTGTTATGATATTTTTTTCTTATTTTTCCAATGAAATATGACCCAGTGCACACGTTAGTACTTTGTATGCCCATTCCACGAAGTCGTTCTATGCAGATTGACCACAGATTCTTGAGTGAATATAAATCAGGAGACTTTCCAGCCCAGTCTATAGTACTTTGGTTTGCTCACTGGTAAGGCTTGCCAGTGTGTTCGTTCAGCGTTAAATTTTCGTAAGCTTCCTTGGAGTAACGTCCATCGCAGACAATGGTCGTGGGACAACTAATCGACAGTCGAGAAAATAGTATCTGTGCGTGATAAAAACCTGATGCAATCACGGATGACGCAATATTTTTTAAGGCCAAACAAATTTCATTATACACCTCGAAAATAGATTCATATGACTGCACACCACAGCAAATGAGCTAATCTGAGGAAAAAATAGAAATTGATTACACCATGTCACTCCAGTTAGGACTAAAATCTACCGTATGGTGAAAGAAAGAAAACTAAAGAGTATTTCAATTAATTTGCACAAGGTTTTATACACACACACACACACACACATATATATATATATATATATATTGGCGACTGAAGTAAAAAGATCTTGGGTCAACCTAGAAATGTTTCCCGCCCCCAAAATTTTAATATTTGGTTATCTGATTTTGATTATTGTATTTTGGAAACATAGCTGAGAAAGTACACAACTTTCAAATACCCTAAACTTACAGAGAAGCATATTTTTTCTGAGCTTACGGCCATATCATGTTGAAACATCGATTTCTGTACGATCACCGAAATTAGACAACGTCAAGATTGATTAGTACTTATATGGGTGACCCCTTGGCAACACCAGGTGCAGTAAGCTTGGATGTGCGGATGATGTAATGATTAATGGGTCGGAATTGTTATTCGAAGTGCCGAGTTCGAGTTCGTTATATTCATTTACCCTTTTGGATGAACCCAACTTTTCTCTTCCCAGCTATAGGTTAATTAGTAAGACTTGTATCACCCACTCATTATTATCTCCAAAAATTTTACAATCTAAAAATATTCTCTGGCTTTAAATAACCTGAAAGTGCCGATAAGCCAAAGAAATGAATCAATCAATCAAATACTGATTAGCTACACAGGCATGTTTTTCGATTTATTTACATTCTCTAGAATGTAAGCAAATATATGGATATAGATCCGACAGTATGAAGAAAAATATATGAAAAAACTAAAATTCAAATATGCAATTATGCTGTTTTAATGATATTTTCATGTCGACGTCAAACGTTTCGGTGTAGCGTTTTGATTAATCTTACTCTTATGTCCATCGTCTTTTCATGTTGACTTGAATATCGTCTAATGTTAATTATGTTTTCATAACTATGTCCTGAAGAAGGTCTACTAGACCGAAACGTCTGACGTCGACATTAAATTAACATTAAAACAGCATAATTGCATATTCGGATTTTTGTTTTTCCATATATTTTTCTTCATACTGTCGGATCTATATCCATATAAAATGTATGTATAAATGTATAGAAACTACGGTGGCTAAAAGTGAGGGATCGATTTATATATTGATTGTAAAATAGAATTGATCTCCCACTTTATATCCACATTATAATTTTCTTGTTTATTGCTAAACCGTAGAAAACGAATGAGTCAATCAATGAAGTACAGATTAGCTACACAGGCATGTCTTTCAGATTTATTTACTTTTTGGGGGGGGATGCAAATGTACAGAAATTGCCTGGGGAAAATAGTATGTTCCTCATATCGCTCCAGTAAATCCCTGACTCCTCGTGCTACATTCTACCTTAACAAGAGTCACATCAGGCCTAAAGTGGAGTACCCCTAAAATATATATAGAAAGTAACTACCCATTCTTTACTTTCCACTCACGATCAAGTCCAGAAACATCTTTGCGTCCTTGTGGGTAATGAATTATTTACCTGCTTGTAATCACTTTTTCACAGCCGACACGTTGCAAGTCTTTTGTTGCTCTATCAATACAATAGTAAATGTGTGCAACTCCAAAACCTAGATGACCAGAGCTTAGCAGTTGTTCTCTTCTCTGACCTAACCCTAACAGCTCAGTGGGGTAAAAAACTGGCTGGTTGATTTAATGCCTCAAAATGAATCTAGTGACATTTTATCATCACTGAGCATATCTAGAACATTCACTGATCTTGATAAATGGGTGTTCACTCAGGCAGACCATGTGCCTTGAGCACCTATTGAGACTTAAATTAAACCCAAACATAAAGTGAAATTCATACATATACAATCCATCGCTAAAAAAAATGGTTGGCTCTCTGTACTGCTCCAGTAAATACCGGATTCCTTGTGCTATTCTCTATCTTTACAAGAGCCAGATCAAGCCAAAAATGGGGTATTGTTGCCATATATGGGCACATATCATAGATAAAACTTTGCAAGTCTCTTGTTGCTCTATCACTATTTCCATGGAAAGTGTTCAGATGAACTATATTCCTTAGTTCCAAAGTTCTAACATTCATGGCTAAGACCTGTCATTTTATGAACATTATTATGAACCACTCTCCTTCCCTATGTATATTGTTGGTGAGATGTAAGTTGCACTCAAACAGATTATTTCCATGAATTGCTGCTTTCTGGAACCTACTTTCAAGATGTTTCCCCTCGATCATTACAATCTTAACCTGTTCAATTCTAAGGTTAACCATTCTCTACATATCTGTATAAAATGTGCCTCTTACCATAATTCTTAGTTTCGTACAGCTCCTTTCCACAAACCTTTACATTCCGGAACATACTCCTAAGAGGATGCTTCACAGATCACTACAATCTTCCCTGCATATCCTAATATCTCTTATCCTGTAACTCTACACTTCGAGTGGTTCTTGGGCCTTGTACAGGATGAATATGATTCCAATATCTATCTATCTATCTATCTATCTATCTCTCTCTCTCTCTCTCTCTATATATATATATATATATATATATATATATATATATATATATATAGATAGATAGAAACAAATGTTTGGAGGTACAAAATTTATATATAGTTTTAAAAACAAGGAATGTATTGATTTTAATTTTAAAAGTCTCTAGGGCCCTTTCAGCCAACATCTCATCAGGAGACAATCGTTGGATCAACGAAAAGAATATTAACGACAATGAAGAGCAAAAAGAGGGGGGAAACACACTAAAATAACAAACAAGTGTATATACTTGTAACGAGGGGATGGGAAATAATCGTGTAAATAAATTAGCGAGGGACAGTTAAAATAAAATATCCCCCAACAGATTAAGAGACTTTACAAATTCTTTCTGCCGGCAGAGAGAAGGTTTCCTTAATCCTATGCAGACCGATTCCAAAATCTTCAAATGATTGTTGGAATCGGCTGTATGAATAATTTTAAACCACTCTTTTTTAAACAACTTGGCGCAGGCTATATTCTCAACTAAATGTTGAGCAATAGCCGATTCCATATTCATGGGGGGAAGATAGCATATTCTATCTATCTTACCAAGTCGTATTTTGGAAGGTACATGCTGATTGATTCTAGTTTCCAAATGCAAGGTTGTACGCCCCACATAACCAGCAGCACACTGGCAATTAAATTCATATACTAAATTACTCAATTTGATGTAGGGCAATACATCCTTGTGAAAAGACGGAAACACAGACCTAGTTCGAAAAATGCTACGTAAAGCAACTGATAGGAAACCGACTTGCTAACCTGCTTAATTAAGCCCTGACCCCTATCCCCAATCCTGGGAATCTTCAAATACACCAGACATTTAGAAGGCCCCTGGATTTTAGGGGAATGAAATTCCTTAGTCTTCTTACTAATAATATAGTCAATAAGGGCCTCCGGATAGCCGTTACTAAGGAAAATCTCCCTAATGTCTTCAAATTCACAGTCCAATCTAATAGGAGAACAAATTTTAAGTGCTCTATACACCAAGGTTTTAACAAGATTGATTTTCCTTAATGCA